GGCAGGCGGGGACGCGGCGGGAAAGGACGCGGGATCGCTGCTGGCCGCCCGACGCAGGTACCACGGAGCCCGGAGGCCAGGCAGCGGGGAAGGCTTCGCCCTCGAGGACTCCTGACACGCTGGACAGTGGTCACCGCGCACCGTAAACGCGCGTGGTGGGCTTGGCATCTGAACACTTGCTGGTGGTGGTCTGGAAGTGTTTGCTCCCATCTCTCCTTCAAGTTAGCATTTTATTGACTGGCTGAATTGTCGTGGGTGCTGGCTAGGCAGACCTCAGGGACGCACAGGAGTCTATGCAAAATTCTGCATAAAAACAGGGAGACACGGTGAGGTATTCAGGCTAGAGGTAGGAGAACTCTGTTTTGACCTCGAAATTTAATAAAATAGGACTTAATGAAATAAAAAATTTGAGTTTGAGCAGAACAGAGGAAGGTTTGGAAGTAGAGTTTTCAACCTGAGCTTTGTCAATGAATTTAATGTGGATAGAATGTAAGGAGTCCTTTAACTAGAATGAGGGTAAAATTACACTTTTATTTTTACTAACCAGTAAATGAAACTTAGTTTCTTTATATTATGAAAGCAGGTAACAGATGGCAATAGTATTAGCAATTTCTGTGAGTTTATCACCAATAAAAATTAAAATATTTTTGTGTCACATTTACAGTTGATGCAGATAACTCAAAGTAGCATTTGTGTTTATCGATGAATTTCTTTCAATTTGTGAGAAATGCTGTTACATATTTTATATGATAGAATTGTACATGTCAGGTTTTCATTTCATAATATACCAGTACAATACATTTCCTTTGCACTTAGGTGTATTAATGCGTTAAAAGCAACCTGAGAAGGGACCACAAGCTTCACCAGTGTATCAGTGTCCATGGCATAAAATAGTTAAAGATTCCTGAAACAGAAATAAGCTTTGGGGGATTTATAAGTACCTGGAAAAATATTTGCATCATTAGGTAAGAAAGCAGACAGAATGGGAAAAAAAAAGACCATAGTATAGATGCAAAAGAAATTGCTATCAAAGACAAAAGATTTAGATGAGATCAGAATAATTGTTTTTAAGTCAAGATTTCACTCTGTAGCCCTGCCTGACCTGGAACTCACTAGGTATAGACCAGGCTGGCCTCAGACTTACAGTGATCCTCCTACCTCTGCCTCTGAAGTGCTTGGATTGTAGTTGTATGTCACCACACCTTTTTTTTTTTTTTTTTTAATGTATTAATTACACTACACTAGTAGTTTTGAAAGATAGACCAGACCATAGATATTTCATCCAGCCCTACTGGGGAATCAGCAAAAAAAAGTGATGAAGAAAGGGAAGTGAATATTTTGGCCTTTTGACTTTTGTGCTGAGGCGTCCCCATATTTCTAAGCAACTGAAGCCCTGACTTTCTTTTCTTTTTTCTTCTTTGTGTGTGTGTGTCTGTGTGTCTGTTTGGGTGTGCACATGTTCATGTGTGTGCATGTGTCTATTTAAGCCAGAGGTTGATACTGGAGGTCTTCCTCTCCACTTTTTTTTTTTTTTAATTTATTTTTATGTGTATGAGTGTTCTGCCTACATGTATAAAAGAGCACCTTGTGCATGCCTGGCGCCTGAGGAGGTTAGAAAAGGGCGTTGGATTCCCTAGAACTGTTTGCACTGGGAACTGAACCCAGGTCCTCTGCAAAAATAGCCATCTCTCCACCCCTCCACCTTCTTTTTTTGGGGAGGGGGATGGGATCTCTTACTGGCCAGCCAGCAAGCCCCACTGGCTCTCCTGTCTCTGCTTCAGTGCTGGAATTAACAGGTGCTGTGCTGTATTGTCTTTTTATGTGGATGCTGGGAATCTGAACTCATGCTTGTGTGGTAAGCACTTTACCAACTGAGCAATCTCCCCATCCCTCCTCTTGCTCTTCTTTTGTTAATAAATGAACTTTATTTATTGTTTGTGGGTTGGAATCTAGGACCTTGCACATGCTAAGCAAGAGCCCCACTGCTGAGCCATGTAGCTAGCCCTGTTTTTCTGGATTTCTTAAAATCATGAAGATGGTACGGTTTTTAAACAGGAAGATACACCTCTGTTTTTCTCTCTTTAATCTGTCTTCTGTTGTTGCTATTCTTTTCTTCACATATGACAGGAAGTAAGTATACAGGTTCTATGGAGTTGGAAATTCTGTTTCAAGTTCTTACTGTTCTGATGCTAATTGTAGGTACTGAAGCTTGAACTCAGCTGCAGTCACACTGGGCAGTCTACTACTGAACTGCATTTACCCCGCTCTTTTTTTTTTTCCATTGTGAGACAGGATCTCACTAAGATGCCTGGGGTGGTCTTGAACTCACTATGTAGCCTAGACTGGCTCCAAACTGGTACTTCTCCTTTCTCAGCCAGTGGCGTACTGGGACTACAGGCTTGGGCCACCTGGCCGTTCTGTTTCATTTTGGCATTAGTTGTCTCACAAATTACTTCATAGTTTCTCATTATGATGTATGACTCAAAGTTTGCACTTGAGAAACTCCTGTCTTGTGTGAGATAGTTTTCCCTTCCAAAATAACAGTAATAATAGAAACCACTGTGCCACACTTTTTCAGGAAATAAAATAATAATGAAAAGATGAAGAAGCAGTTTAATGAAGCAGATGATTGACACTGGGAGAGTTTATGCTGAATTGAGCGTAATCAGAGAAGTCTCTGCCCGGGAGAAGTCTTCCCTTCACTTTCTTGCCTTTGCATTACCGCCTCTGTCATTCTTTGTTTTTAATTCCTTATTTATTTGTCACCTCTACGACAATAAGGGAATCTGTCTTTACTTCTGTGAATAAGGGCTGGCACAAAACAGGTGCTCAGTAAATGGTCGATGGACAAATGAGCTAATTTTCCCTTGTTTTCTTTTTTCTTTTTCTGAGATAAGGTCTCATGTATCTCATGCTGGCCTTCAACTTGATATGTAGCTGAGGATGATCTTGAGCACCTGATCTGCTTGCCTTCACCTCCCCAGTGCTGGGATTATAGGCGTGCACTATCATGCTCGTTTATGCAGGTTTATGCAGAGCTAGGGATCCAACCCAGGGCTTTATGCATGCTAGGTGACTATTCTACCAACTGAGCTATGTCCCCGTCTCTGCTGAGTTAGTGTATAGGAGCTAAGATTTTTATTTCCAGGAGTAAAGCACATCTTTTTTTTTTTTTTCTTCAGATCTTACAAATAGTACTATGCAAACTAATTTGAATTATTATAGCCTTTTCGTTTAAATTTAAATCCCCCCTCCCCCGTCTTAGTCTTCCACTGTAGCCCAGGCTGGCCTTTAACTCCCTATCCTGCTCAGCCTTCTGAATGCTGGGATTACAAGATACATCACCATGCCTGGCTCATCCAGGAAATTACTTCACAAATATTGTATAGTACTTCTATACTTCTATATTTCATATATAGTCATTATATTGAGACAGGGTATCACTGTGTAGCCTTGGCTGACCTGGAACTCTATGTAGACCAGGCCTGCCTCTCCCTCCCAAGTGCTGGATTTAAAGGCACACCCAGCCAAGGAACTACTTCTTAGCACATGATTTTAGTTAAACTTAAATGATCGTGATCATATAATGAAAGGAAAGGGGGTCTGTAGGTGAAGTTCTTGCTCTACCGAGGTTTATTTTTTTGTTTGTTTTTGAGAATAGAGACTCCAGACTACCCTGGAACTTGTCTGAATTTTCAGAGTGCTTTTTAAAAATGAATGTTTTCACATGTGTATTTACATGTGTGTATGTGTGTGGGTGTGTGCGTGCACGTGCAAGTGTGTGTGTGCACATCAGGTTTGTTGACAAATGCCTTTACCCTCTAAATCATCTCTCCAGCTCTGGTTTTTTTTTTTTGTTGTTGTTTCTTTTGTTTTTTAATTTCCTATTTTATATGCTGAGGGACATAAATTTGCCTTTGCCAAAAAAGAAGAAAAGTGGTTCTAGAAGGTACATTAGTGTTAGTATCATTGAATTATAATCATTATAATTGATTAGTAATTAAATAAATGCAAATTGAAATAAATGGTGCTATGTTCTTTACATCAGATTGATTAAAACATTTTAATGTCTGACTATTTGGTGACGATGTGGCAAAAATGGTAATTTTAGAAACATCTGGCAGAGTGTAAATTGGTACAGGTACCCATTGAAGTTGAAATGAGCCCAGCCCTGTGATTTCATGATATTTTTAAGGGTTAAGGATGGGAGGTGGTATGTGTAATTTCCCCTCCTCAACCCCAAACAAAAGCAGGACTGGGAATATAGCTCAGTGGTACAACAGTTGTCTAGTGCTATGAGGGGTCTGGTTTAATCCCAGTAAACACATACATACACACACACGCACACGCGCACACACGGAGGGAAAATGGTGATGTTAACAGTTATTTCTGGGAAGCTGAAAAGAAGTGCTAGATTGGGGCTGGAGAGATGGCTCAGCGGTTAAGAACACTGACTGTTCTTGCAGAAGACCTGGGTTCGTATCCCAGCACCCACATGGCAGCTAACAGCTGTCTGTAACTCCAGTTCCAGGGTATCCAACAACCTCTTCTGTCCTTTATGGGCATTGCATGACATGGGTACACTTACCTACATGCAGGCAATACACTCATACACATAAAATAAAAATAAATAAAATATTAAAAAAAGAAGTGCTAGATTATCCCTTATGCCTTCTCTTTCTATTCTCTGTTTCCTGCCTTTGGACTGGGTTTGGGGAATCTTACTTA